TAGATTCAAGCCGCTTACAGAAGAAATAATGGGCAGCCGAATATTGCATATTTGTAGAGAGGAAGGTCTTAGTCTAGATTCAGAGGTTTGGTTGTAGTAACTTGATTCCTTGTTATAAAACCTGTTTGCTTTCTTTCATTTAAATGATGGTTCGATTTTCACTTTGCAATTAAGCTATATATAAGAGTGTCTCACCTGATTGCAGGCTCTTTCGACTCTCAGTTCCATTTCTCAAGGTGATCTACGAAGGGCTATAACATACTTACAAGTAAGATGAATTTTCTGCTTTCTACATTTTTTTGAATAAAAGGAAAAGAAGCTAAAAGAACTGGCTGGCTCAGTACCATAATCAATATTGTAGTGACACTTGTTCAGCTACCAGAGGATGATGTTGCGATTTTGACTCATTTCATAATGCAAATGAAAATTTCTCTATTGTTCTGTGGAAGGAACAAATTATATCCAATGACAAGCCTGTTTTTCTTACCATCTGTTTACTTCCTGGCAAGACTATCAACCATGAAAAATTGATTGGTAATATTTTGAATTGCTGCAGAGTGCTGCTCGGTTATTTGGATCTTCCATATCGGCAAGGGACCTGATTAGTGTGTCTGGGGTAAGTTCGAATTTGTTTCTGTAGTTTTAGTTTACTGTAGTCTTTACATCAACCAGGGGTTCATCTATAAGTTCCCACAAGATCAATGCGTTCATCTATCAATATCTTTGGGATGTCACTTTTCCGATTTATGCTGTTGGGCCTTTGCTATACCTTGATGTATATGATATATAATGTAGCACAGTAGCAGTATAGATGTATTAGGACGTTCTCCTTATTAATAATGTTGTTTTTATGAGTTGTTCTAATATTTCTTCTTTTGCACTAAAGGCTATTATGAATGCATCTTCTTTGACATCTGAACTTTTGACTAGTGGCAATGCTGTGCTTTCGATCTGTGAAAGTTATTTACCTAGTACAGGAGAAGTAGTAGTTAAAACTGAAGAACGAGAAGAGAGAGGTTTTGGAAGGTTTTGCCTGATTATTCCTTTAAAACTCTGAGGATTGGGTAATGTCTATAAATATCGTTAGATAAGAAAGCCAGCATAAAATCCTTTTGATTGGTGTCAATAATTACAGACTCTTTACTGAAAGTACAGATTCTGTACAGAACCCTGACACTTTCTTAACAATGCTCTTCAAACTAGAGCATACATACTGATACCTGTTATTTATTACTACAAATATAATCACTCTTGGAGTCCTGCAGTGATCTTGCAAACATCTGTATCATTTGATATGTCAAACTTGTAGCAATATATTCCTTTTCAATCTTATGTCTGATAAAGTGACAATCTATTTTTATGTGTTCTATCCTTGGATGAAAACAAAATTTTAAGCCATATGTAGTGTAACTTGATTTCGCTGATCAGTTTCATTTATTCATTTCTTTCATTTTTCAACTGTTGCCGCAGTTGTTTAACCATATAAGCTCACATCTAAATCCATGGATCGACATTCTACTTTTGTTTTATAACCAAGAAATATCTGTGAGTTAGCTGGCCCAATTCCAGTTTGTCCACTTATTCGAAACTTGGGAGAGTATTCACCCATGATCCCACTTAAATACTAGGGTCCTACACTTGCTTTAGGCACTGACAAGTAATTGCAATGATCAGGTCATTCCAAATGAAGTTACTCAGGCCATATTCTCAGCTTGCAGAAGTGGAAATTTTGACTTGGCAAACAAAGAAGTGGACAATGTCATTGCAGAAGGATATCCTGTTTCTCAGATGCTGTCTCAGGTCCCAATATCTGTGTTTCTCATTTTACATTCAATTATGCCAACATTTGGTACTAATATGCCGCTTCTTTCAGTTGTATGATATAGTAATTGATGTGGACGGCATTTCTGATGAGCAGAAAGCACGAATATGCAAGAAATTTGCTGAAGCAGACAAGGTTATTGTTCTTCATCTTATTCTATTATTGTTAGAGTGATTATTATAGTTTCTACTCTTTTGTGTATATATATATATATATATATATATATATATATATATATATATATATATATTATACATTTATTCTTCCCATCTTAAGAGTATGATGGGGCTAAAACTACATGGGTCAAATATTTAAGTCTCAGCACATTCATAAATTCCTTTGATGTTTCAAAATAAAATTTACTCTACGGAATTTGGAAGTCCCTGCAAAGTATATAAATCATCCTACGCATTATTTTTTATTATTATAAATGTTTAGAAAATGTTTGAAAAGTAGTAGTCAAAGTAGAAATTGTTTTGACTCTAAATGGTATTAGTGTCTTGTAGAATGAGACAAGAGGGAGTATTATTCTTGGTTAGTTTTTTCTCTTTCGGAGAACTGACTACTGATGAATGTTTAGCTGTGCGCTACAGATTCTGTATTTATGATAGTGTCATCTGAAGTTCTCCCTTAGATTAGAGTTCATCTTTGCCTTTTCTGTTAGTGCAGTAATAATGTTGACTGTAGTTGACAACGTTAGCTGAAGAATTTAGAAGAATGTGCTTATGATTTCCCTTGTTTTGCAGTGTCTTGTTGATGGAGCAGATGAGTATTTGCAACTTCTCGATGTTGCAAGCACCACAATGCAAGCACTTACCAACATGCCACAGGACATGGCGTGTGAAAGTTAGATGGCTACGTGGATTATGTTGAGTTTGTATTCCCTTATCAACTCTTGTAAAGTCACTTTCCTCGACAGGTATTGGAAATCTTTTAATATGGTTTGCTTTATATTCTTTGTTATAATCCTTGACTCATAAAGTTTTCAACTTAGTAACGGCTTATATATGCATCACATTGACCTATAGTTCGATTAATGTATAAGCAAAATTATGTGGCAGCATATGGTGCGAGTTCTTATTCTTTTAGCTTCTTTTTATTTTTTTTGGTAAGAGGGGAAACCCGCAGCCGCTACAACCTCTGCCACAGCCTCTGCCCTTCGGTTGAGCATTCTGTGGTGATCACTTTGTGTGCACCGGGTAAAACCCCCCTGTGTAATAGCCTGCAAACCACACAGAAGATGTAAACCGCACTAGGCAAGCCTTGTGCGACAAGCTCATTTTATATGGTAGTATTTGATTGGACACAACTTAATATAAGAAAGAAATACCTTTCACATATATCATACCAAAGCATCTTTAGAACTTGTGGTATTATACATGCCATGACATTTTTATGATTTTTATGGATGTAAGAGCTTGCCATTAAGGGTAAAATGAAAAGTTATAATTAAAGAGCTTTCAAATATAGATCAGTATAAAAATGAACAGGCAGTAACTGATTAGATGATCTAAGTTAACTTGTTCAGCGTCATATCAAGTTTAGACTTGGTGGTGAATGCTGAAGCCATTTAACAGTTGGACGGTGGTCCTAAAATGGTGTCTATTTAATTTAGAAGGAAGGTTTCCATTCAATTTATACAAAAAGAAACGTTTTATGTGACATTTTCTAATTTTTTCGTATATCTTGTTCAAGATTCCATTTTCCAGAAAACATTAGTGAATATGTAATTCCGCATGTTCTCCAAAAACAAAAAATTAATTTACTTAACATGTTGAATATAATTTCGATATTCATGTCAGCTCAAGCAAATTAAAACTATGGTATCTTCGTTAAAATAGACTTCCTTTCATCTGTTTCTCATAACTTCAACATATTGGATGTCAAACAATTATGAATCGATAGGTCTGCTTAGATGAGTTTTGATATCAAAATAGTTAGCATAATTCACTCTCAATCAATAGTGTGGAAGTCAAATTGATTTTTTTCCGCTTTAAGAGCTCCATTTTGAGATGTATTAGTGATGTTTGTGAATACTCCCAATCCTCACGGCGGATTTGAATGGCCCTGTTTATTGTCCTTGTCATGCGCGAGCCTAAAGTCTCGACAAAATGTTCGTTTGGCTATTTCATTACTTTTATTCAAATCCAGACATATAATGCCCTCAAATCATCTTGCTTTTCCACAAGTCCTACACAAAATTATATTGACAACACGTCAATGTAGCTTTATTTCCTAATTTCAAATCTCAAATCGGGTATTGTGTATAAAATCATAGAAAATGTTTCTCGTCAATATCCCCAATTAAACATCTAGGATTTTCTTATCTCCTACACCGTCAATTCACTTTAAAAAAAAAGTTTTTTCAGTTTTCTTTAATGAAAGTTCTAATACATTCTAAATGTCACCAAATCTTTAAAAGATCCAAGTTTAAATTTCTTAACACTTTTCTTGGTATTCAACACCTCTAAGAACATAAAATTCAATACATGACCCATATGCTTTGCAACAAACAATTCATATATTCAACAACTTTCTTAATAATCCTATCAAATCAAAAGTGAACAAGCAATGAAAACAGAGAAGGTACTATCATATACGTTTAACTCACAGATTTAGCTAATATAAGATTGATATGATCCCCTCGATTTTGGTGAAATTGAACATGATCACGTGTACAAGAGAGGATTGTTCAATTGGTAAGTATCAACAAAAGTGAGAAAGCTCCTAAGAAAAGGTTTTAATAAAAGCATACTAAGATATTATTATTGAACTTGGTATTTATACCAAATAAGTGAATGGATGACGTTTATATTTACCAAAAATATTTATGTCAACAAATCATTTACCAAGGTAATTATATGTAAAAATTATTTAATCACCTGAAGAAAACAATAACTTTAACTCATTACGTACAATTTTTTAAATTATACCAATAGTGTCAAAAATTATTAATCTCCATTTCTCTATACATGAGATGCAATTATTTGAAATATCCACAAAGTCCACCAAGCCCCACTCTTTACGCCTTTGATCATGATTTTTAGTCTTTTAGATTAATAGTCTTCCTTTGAATTTCTTCTCCACCTACATATATATATATATATACACACGCTCAAATGCATTTGGGAGGAAAATGTAAGTGAAAGTTTGAGTCTATTTTTCAAAAGGAATAAAAATGGATGATTCATTTACGCAGCCCGGAGCAATTCCATTTAAATGGGAAATCCGACCCGGAGTACCCAAGCTCCCACATTCACACGAACCAATAACAACAGATCACCACCGTCCACTAGCCAAACAAGAGGAAATGCCAATGAATCAGAGCCGTTCCTTTCCAGAAACCCCGCGTAAGCTGAGACCTCCACCAGCAGCTGGGTTCAATTTCCACTCACCATTTGCGGAGCCCCGAACCCGATCCTTCCGTTCAGCTCCACGGGCACGCTCGGAGAGGCACCGGTTTGACGTGCAGAATCTGATGACCCGACCCTCTATGGGAGTTGCCGCAGATGGGTGCTTCCCATCTCCCCCATTGCTGAGGCGAGTAACGGAGAAGAAGAAGAAGAAGAAGAAGCAGAAGAGTGGATCCGAACCCGATTACATGTCGGATCTAGAGACAGTTTCACGGTGGTCTGTGTCGAGTCGAAAGTCTGTATCTCCTTTTCATGACTCACTTTCATTTTCATCACAGGAGCCATCGCCCCGACGACCTGTGAATGATGCTGATTGGCCTGGCTTTGCTCTCTTTTAGTTTTAGAACACCACAATTCATACAAAAGGTTCTTTTTTCTATCTTTAATTTCCTTCAATATTACTACTATTGTACTCCTAAGTATATCACTGTGATGCAATCGATCGGCTATGATCCAATAAGTTAAGAGCGTGAGGAGAAGTACTCCCTCGATTACAATTCAGTGAAGAGTTTAATTTGAGAAAAGTTTTTCATACTTAAAGTTCATAATACTATATAACATACAAAAATTACCTTTAACATCTTCTTGTTTTTAGGGTGTTATTTTTGTTTACCCGCAAAATCGGATAACAATTGAATTTACACGCGATTTTAAGGATACGTTATCTAATTTGATATAAACTGAGAAATCAGATTAATGTGGAAGTAAACAACAAAAAGATAAATGCAAACCACGCAAGTTTGAACAATTTAAGCCTTGTGAGGTTAATCCCCTTCAAACTAGATATAATATTATTGAACCCGGAATAATGAACAAAGCTAGAAATAACAGTATATTGCTCTTTTTGATGTATGTTACAATGTCCCTCCATGAATTACTAAGTCCCCTTTTTATATTAAGGGAGATCTACCTTTTAAGATATTATTTTATAAGAAACATAAGTCTTTGATTTTGTAGACCGTTAGATTCCTTTTTTGACTAATCCCCGTGGTTTATGCCATAATGATTGGTTAGTGGTGAGAATCACAAATCTTTATCGGATGAGTTGGCGAAATTTTTTCTTCGAGGCCGTTAGAAACATGTCTCGATGGCTTGTTTTGACGATGCTTTTGAGTCCGACAATATCATATTCCGATCTTGGCTGACCATGCCGAACTTCGAATCTCGATATCGAGCTCAGTTTCACCCGTAACTTCGATTTCTACCCAATTACAGATGTGCCGACCCTGGCCTACCGCCCCATATGCTCGATCGAGCATCGAGCTCGGTTTTCTCCGTATATAGATAGTCCCCTCGTTTTTTGGAGAGTAGGCGACGAAAAACGATATGAGCCCTCGGTTTTCACTTCGATAAATCATGACGTAAGAGACAAAAGGTAATTGAAACGTCCCATCGGTCCAGTCTTCAAGGCATTAAATGTGGGTCAGTTAATGGTCGGCCACTTCGGGAAGTGAACCGCCGTTTGAGAAAACTATAAATATCCTTTAACCCATTCATTAGAACTTTTACATTCAAACTCCTTTTGTGTTCTAGGAAAGCTTCATCACTTTCATCTTCTGGTTTTCTAACTGTTTAGCCTAAGGGTGGCAAGTGGGCCGGTCCAGGCTCGGGCCCGACCCGGGACCGCGGGACAAATCCCGTTTTTAGTGGGCCTGAGCCGGTCTCGTGGGCCGATCCTATGCTTTGGCCCGCCAGGCCCGGGACCGGACCGGTCCCTTAGCGGGCCAAATGGTCCCTTAGCAGGCCAAACGGTCCCAACGGCTATATTTTAAAAAAAATATAGCAGTTGGACTGTCAAAAATAGCCGTTGGCTATTTATAAAATAGCCATTTAACCCCCCAACTTTGTTTTAACCCTAAACTTTTTATAATTACATTTTTTCCCTATTTTCAACTATAAATACCCCTTTATTCTTTCATTTTTTTTTTACAAAATCATCAATCTCTCTCTTATTTCCTTCTATAATTGCTACTATNAAATTTAGGTCACAATTCTATAATAAAATTTACAAAGCATTGCTTTAGATATTTTTTTTAACATTCTTTTGTCTCTAATATCTATTTAATTTTTTTTTTTAAAAAATCTGTTGGGTCCACTTAGCCCACGGGCCGAGACCGTTTAGCCCGTGACCAAACGGTCCCGGTCGTGGGCCGGTCCCTACAAAAAGATCGTTTAACCCGGGACCGTTTGGACTGGCCCACTTGGCCCGTTTAGGCTCGAGACCGGCCCACTTGCCACCCTTAGTTTAGCCTCAAAACTTTTTCTCTTCTAGATTTATATAAGTTATCTGCTAAGTCCGCCTATTCCCTTACCAACAATTTCTTTTCTCCATTGTTTATAAAGAATGACAAAGACTTCAAAGTTCGTTCCTAAAAAAACACCTTCTTCTTCGAAACCATCTGAAAACGTTCCACATGCTGCTACTGAGGCACCCCCTCTGAGGTCGTACATCCCTGCGGGGTGCCCAGCCGAAGTCGACTTTAAGGTTGAGAATATGGTGCCGGGTCGGTGCGAGTCAGTCTCGAGGTACATATGTACGATTACAACTAGTATCCTCGATAAAGTCAAAGAGGACTGCAACTGGGAAGATAAACTCGTAGTAGTCCCTACACCCGAGGAATCGATCACCACCCACGTGGAGGGTGTTTTAAGTATTTACACTTACCCTTTCACGCTGGGTCCTTTAGACCCGGTTATCATAGCCTTTTGCAAAAGGTATAAGGTGACGCTTAGGCAGATATATCCCTCATTTTGGAGAATTGTTATTTTGCTTCAATTCTTTGTGAGCAAGGTCGAGGGGTGTCCATTTACCATCGACCCCCTCATGCGTCTGTATAGGCCTTGACTTTACCGAGGGGGATTAATCAAGCTCGCACGCCGAGCCACTAAGGCCTTGTTCTCGAGTCTCGACGAGGATCGGGACCGGGGCTGGTTGGGTCGATTCGTTCGAGTTAGAACCTCAGACTTAATCCCGGTTGCGGACATGTCATTTTCTAAGAAATGGAGCATGAAACGTAAGTATAACTTTGCCTTCAATATTTCTTTTTTTTTTTTTTTTTCGTTTGTTTCTCATCGACGTTATGTGATGATACAGCTATCGCCCAAATGCCGGACGTCGTTCCTCGACTTAAAGAGTGGGTCGAGGGCATTGCGACACAGAGACCTTACTCTGAGCGCTTATGGCATGAGCTCTCGAAGGGTCGATGGGAGGCTCGTAATTATGGTGAGAATGTTTTCCCTAACATATTTGATCTTAATTTCACATCATTGATCTCTGAATCGTTTTAATTTCTTTTTGCAGGTTTACCAAAAGATGTCGAAATGAGGCTTCCATCAGCTGATGACGACATATACGCCGATGCCCCTGCTCCGAAACAGGATAAAGAGAGAAAAAAAAGAAAAGCTCCGAGTCCCTCGAGCCCTGAAAAGAAGAGACTGAGGAAGCGACTGGCGCACAAACCTAAAATGCCAGCACTCGGGAACTCCCATCGGACTTACTTCATCAGTTGAGGGATGAGTCCGAAGAAGAAGAAGAAGATTCTAATATGGTGGCCCGTGTGAGAAACGGTTCTGAACTGCCTCAAGCCATGGAGGCCATAGAAGAAGTAGCGGTCGAAGCCTCCGAACCAGGGAGGGCCGAGACCGTTTCGCCCCGAGCTGGGGAGGTTGACAAAGGGACTTTGGCCAGTACTTCCCGGTCTGAAGATAATATGCCTAAGGAGACGCTTGGGATGATCGATCTCTCTGGGTCACCTTCGTTTACCAATTCAATGATCAACGAGGCCCAGATACTGAAAGGTAACCTCGGCGAGGGGGCCCAATGAGCAGTAGATTCTCTTCACCACTTCTTCGATGGCCTGGATTCTACCGCCTCAGAGGATGTTACTGGGTTGGGCAACTTACCAGTACCAAAAAAGACACCGTCCCCGGGGAATATGGCGGGTCTTCTTCAAGCCCAAAATTGGTGAATTAGTTCCCAGCTCCGAGTGTTGATCCTACTCGGAGAGGGGCAATTTTTGTGTCCATTCGGGAGGACGCCCGTGTTCTTTCTGCCTCGGTGGGGATCGCCAGTTACCTTCGGTGCTTGGTGACTGAAGAGGATCAAGCCAAAATGAACGAGGTGGAGGCACCCTGCCTATTCAACGAAGCTCAATATGTGCTGAATCGGGTAACTTTGAATGTCCCTTCATTATGTACTTAGCTTAAATCATGAATAATCGTAACATTTTCCTTGTGTTTGTAGGCCTCGATGCTTCATCACGAGGCATTTCTTCAATACCGGGAGGAGTTCAAACGTCATGAGGCCGAGGCCCGGGAGCTTACTGAGAAGAAGGAAACTTACAAGCTTCTTAGTGAAAAATCCCAGGCTGAGCTAGAAGCGGCTCGGAAGGAGCATGCCGAGTTGGTCTAGCAGGTAAGGATAGTTTTTGAAGTTAGTGATGATGAGTCAGATTCTATAGCTAACGATGCGAACCCACAGGTTCAAAAGAAACTTGACCAGATCGATCTGTTCCGAGGGGAGGTGGATACGTTCAAGGCCGAGGCCGAAGAGTGGAAGAAGAACATGGACCGCCTGGGTTCGGAGAAAGAGACAACCCGGGCATAGTTGGCTTCAGATGAGGTCAAGCTTCAAGCTATAAAGGAAAATAACTTGGTACATGCCAAAACGATCGAGGGACTCCAATCTTAGCTGAACTCGGCTGTTTCTGGTCTAGAGAATCTGGCCAAGGAGCTCGAGGCTGCTAAGTTAAAAGTTGTGATGGCCAAGACTGAGGATGATGAAAAGGTGTCCCAATTCAAGGTTGATGTCGAGGCTATCCAGGAACATGCGAGAAACATGGTGAACCATGCGAGGTAGGAAGCCCGAAGGGAGGCCCTCGAGGGAGTCTATGCTCAGAAATGTGACATATTGGCCTAGATCGAGAGTGCCAAGATATGCGAAGCCAAGGCATGGAAGCTGGCTTATCCCGAGAAGGATTCTGAAGAGTCGGGTGAGTCCGATGGTGGCGAAGACCCCATAGGCGACGACGTAGCCCCCGATGAGGATTAGGCCATTTTAGGAGTTTTTCACCTTTTGTACTACCATTTTTGTTGAGGCCGTTCGACCTATGTCAAAAACATGTATCAGGGCTATTCAACCATTTTAAAGAGATTTCGATATATATAAGGCTTTTCCCTTTCATGGCTTTTGAATTTTTCCTTTGTTTTTTTATTTGTATTCGCAAAGTTTGAAATGCCTTAGCATGAAATAGTTAGGTTGTGTTCGAAGGTTCGACCAAATCTTGCCTTTAACGCCGCTTTGTGTTAAGGCATTGTAGGGATTCAGTGTTACCGATAA